CTCATCTGGAATGCAGATTTCAGCCTCCAGGGCCATGAACAAAAACCAACAAGACTGGTTTCATATTACTACTGTCCTAACTCTGTACAGCTATTTCTGCGAACTGTGCACAGGTACTTATCACAGGCTGTCGCCACACCCAGTGACTAGGAGCTGTTGGGGTGGGCAAGGTAAACAGCCAGGCCTCAGGAACGCCAAGTTAACTGTTTAGAAATCAGGGAGACTGTCCATCTGCACTGCACCCCAGCCGGGATTATTTCAAACCAGAACAATCTCTGCTTATGTATATATATTTTTAAAAAATTATTATTATTATTATTATTATCTAATAACTTTCATCTATATTTATTGCCACGGTAATGCTGTATGTGTGAGATTTGTTTCAGTTAATACTGGCAAAAACACTTGAAGGAAATATTAAAGACTGCAGAACTCAATGTTGTCAGAAGCTGTCACGGGTAATATATATATTTTTCATAACACATAGATAAAGAAAGTACAAAATACTCTTAAGCACCTTTGATATGCAGAAAACCAATAACAGGTCAGGTTCCAGTAAAAAGTCTTAATGTTTGTTGCTTTTCTGCAGAGACTTGTTCCTCTCTACAGAGACTGCAAATCTGCAGGAATTTCTAACTTTATATTTCCTAGCCTTTAAGAAGTTTGTTCCGTTAAATTTCCACATCAGCACCTTAGAAATTCAAAGATAGTATTCTTTTTTTTTTTTTTTTTTTTTTTAGCACCCAAGTTACAGGGTCATTCTAGAGTCAGCCATTTAGCTGTGATGAGTAATCTTAAACAAGCAAGATGGAGAAAGCTGTCCTTCACAGGGAAATCAGCTGCAGATCACACTAATGTGTCAAGTAATTGAAAAACATTTACTGAAAAGCTGAGTATTACAGACAACTGGCAACTAAGTAGCCCAAGACTTTCAAATTTGTTTTAATGTTTTAAAACGCAGACCATACAAAAAGCATGCGTTTATCTTTTCAATATACTATAAAAGATCATAAAGTCAACAGTAAAAGTCATTGGTATCTACTGCAGGAAGAAAGTTTCCTGAACATCAGATTGTAATGTGGCTTAGGTGAATCTTATGGACACCATTTCAATGACAGGGTTGCATGCATGCCTATAGACAAAAGGCACTGGAATAATTCCTATCTTTATCTGTGATTTAACACAGAACAATGACTTTGGCCTTACTGCCTGCCATTTCCTGTAGTAAACTCCAGGCCTGTTTCTCTATTCTGCTTAATCATCAGCTGCCAAGGACAGAAACAGCTGATGGGTCATGGCTCTCCTGGTTTTCTAGGTTTAATATAGATTAATATCACAAAAGGAAGCCCTACATAAGGATAATGAAAGAGACTGTGTTTATCATTCCTTATGCCAACCTAGTTTTATAATCCCAGGGTTAATAAAACAAATGGAAGACAGCTACCTCAGCGCTGGTGATTTCCCCTAAGTCAATATTTCTTGAAGGCAAATCTGAAGCAATTCTAAATTTTATTTTATGATAAAAAATTACTGGTGCAAAGTGAACCTGCTGAGCCAAAGTTTTCTTAAAATTACTTAAATTTACATCTATTTTTCTCTTAATCCACAGGACTTATAGTTCATTGTCCTGGTAATTTCTGTGGTTATGCCTTGCTTGTTTATTTATATATCTATTTTTGGGGGGTTGGTTAACTTATGATGGATAAATATTAAATAGTATTTTTCAGTAAAAGTTTCACTGGTCACTAACAACCAATGTAACTACATGAACACCTTCATGGTACCTTCTAAATTAAACATACTTATTCAGATTATGCCCAAGTATTTATTTATCTGCTTATATTAATGTAAATCCAACACTGAGAATAAAACATGACTGTAATAATCTAGGGTCACCTAGCTGTTACAGTGCTATAAATATTGTACATGAGCAGGTTACTGAAAATAGCCACTAATTAAGATTTTAATAGTACAAATAAAAAGTTTAGGTTTAAAGTGGACTTAAAAGCAGAGAAACCATGTCTAAACAGCATTCTAACATAATTTATGAGACTGATCGATTTAGTAGTGAAAAAGATGGTGCTCTGAGTGTCAGGCCAAAGTTACGCAACGTATTGAGATGCTAGAAAATCTGGAGTTGAACACTGAATAATTCAAACTCCAGAAATATACCTCATAAAACCAGAGGCAATCTTGCAAGCCTAAACTCTAGGAAGTGAAAAGAAACTGGCAAACTTTTTGGACCTTAGAATGAACAAAGGAACTCATCTGTGTATCTATCTACACCTGGAGAAAACTGGGTCAAAAACGGGCAGCCAGCAGCCAGCCTCTCAAATTCACCATGCAATAAACCCACAGCCTCAAATAATGCTTTTGTAAGGACTTGCTTCTCACCATCTGATGATCATCCCAGTGAAAAGTCTCCTGTTGAGGGACTGGATAGCTGATAATGAAATATGCATTGGAACTTGCTTACCCAATAATGTGTTTATTGGTAAAATACATTCATAGGTCTGCGCCCTTCATATTTTCACACAAGAAGGAGATCATCATATTGTGATGCACAAATGAAAGAAAGCCAGTCTGTTGGCAGAAGTGTTTTAACGCTGGGTGGATCTATCTCATAAGGCAAGTCTGTCTGAATAGGCTGTAATATGGC